TACCAAATCTAGCTCATCTGATTAGATTGGTGCGAAAAGAGGCGTACTATATTTCCAGTGAGAACTGAAACAAGTTATTAGTGTACATAGTGTTACAACCGAACAAGCATTGATTAGGATACATCTGCACCTTATGGTTTTTCGGTTATCTGATTAGCTCCATAAGAGCAAAGATCGAAAATGAAATGCGATGCACCTGACGAGGGAACCAATCCAACTGATAAACTCCAATTGAACTCATATTTTCCTCGTAGGTAGGGCTCATAATGTAGAAAAAACCTTAAAATGATTAGTGTCCTTAGCCCTTTCTTATCGAATTATGGTGATTTTACTGAATTTTCAGCCTATCACAGGGTATTATGAAAAACCCAATTAGGAATTTCCGCCTGAAAATTTCCCCGATAATAGACCTAATGGTTCTTATCATATCCTGAATGTTTTAGCTTAAACGCACAGTTCTCTTCCGAGATAATGCATCTGAAAAAACCACTGCTTTCTCACAACAGCACTAAAAATACTTCATTTTTGAGATATTCCATATTTTAAGAAAACTCATCCGTTTCAGTTGAGACTTTCAGGAGATAATAAGGACTACTAGGTCTATTATCGGGGAACTTTTCAGGCAGAAATTTCTAATGTCCGTCCAAAAAGTCCGTACGTGTGACTATTTTTTGAATAATTTTTGATAGGAATAAGATACAAACCTGCGGTTTTCGGCGTTCAACAGCCAAGGTGAAGAGGCACCTTTTTACTAGGAAAAACTTTTCTGAGGAACAATTTCGAAGTCAGTTTATCACAGGATCTTTGAAAAGTTAGATTGGATTTCTCAAAATTTATATGGAGACCTATTGATTTTTTTATATATTTGGAATCGCCACTAAAAACTGAGTCAATTCATATATGTTTCGAATCGTTTCGCGACACTTTTTTTCATCGAAAACCTCTGTCCTACAGTCCCGTCAATAAATAAAGTTCGTCAAAACCCCGTTTCTATCGTTTAATCTTGCGCCATTTTGTGCTGTAGTAGCATTTTACAACTTCTGAAGTTGCTTTCCACTGTCCAAGTGATCTTTTGACTAACTTTATTTATTGACGGGACTGTAAGACAGAGGTTTCCGGTGAAAAAAAGTGTCGCGAAACGATTCGAAACATATATGAGTTGACTCAGTTTTCAGTGGAGATTCCAAATATATAAAAAAATCAATAGGTCTCCATGTAAGTTTTGAGAAATCCGATCTAACTTTTCAAAGATCCTGTGATAAACTGACTTCGAAATTGTTCCTCAGAAAAGTTTTTCCTAGTGAAAAGATGCCTCTTCGTCTTGGCTGTCGAACACCAAAAACCGCAGGTTTGTATCTTGTTCCTATCAGAAATTATTCAAAAAATAGTCACACGCACGACCTTTTTGGACGGACACTAGTTTTTGTTACAGAATTTCATCAAAAAAGCAGATAGTTTTATTTGTGATGACTCAATCATTTTTTTTTGTAAGAAGCTTATTGAAGGAACAAATGACATTGTCATCGCCCCATAACTACGTACAGGGAAGGTAGTGGCATCTGCCATATATACTATCGTTAGCACTCTTTCAATTGACAGATTTTGTTTTCTTGATTTTTGAATTCGAACCTCCCCACATGCATGGATGATCGACGCACGGCCATGTCTATTTCTCTTTCTCGGAAAACTTTCTTACAACAATTTCCACGTACCTTTTTTGTTCATCGTAGTAATTCCCAATGTTCCAGAGAAGGCGCCATGGATACTGATTAGGATCGACATTTGTGTACTAAGCAGAGATAGGCAACTACACTATGTTCCGCTCCAACTCCACATAACTCTAGTGCCATTTTCTAAAACTTCACATCAATTTCAACTGCAGTGTGTTTCGCTCCCACCTCCTACCACTCCACTCCTTTTCCCTAAAATCCTACCCTAACGCCGATTTAACTTCATTTCCAGTTGAATTTTACAAAACCGAACTTCTGCAAAAACACTCTTAAGTACACATAAGTTTTTCAACATAATTAAATCTACGATTGACATAAATTAGTAGCACATTAATTTATTGCTTTATAAACTTTCTCATAAAATTCGGCGATAGGTACCTCCATTCTCCCCCATTCTTACTCAATATAACACCACTTTCACTCTGATGGGAAAAAGCGTCAACTTCGAAGTTGGAATTGCCCATCTCTGATATCAACCATTCCAAAATACTTGCTCTTCAAATCCTCATGAACATATCTATGAAATGCGAACTCAAAGAAAGCTTCTCAGAACAAGCACTACATAAGGGATATAGCATGATCTTGATAGAAGACACTCACTATTTTTAGATTTTCAGATTTTGGCAGAGTATCTTATTTAGTTACTAAGATTCTCTTGTGGGATCCTAATACAATGGTCTGATGTTGGTTTTCTTCAAAAGTTAATAATAGCATTTTAGAACACTTTCTGGCTATCTGATTACCCCTCCCCCTCTTTCCAAAGCCCATAAAATCCATGGATCCCAATGTTTTTCACTAGAGAGCTCCGTTAGGATTGGCATCTATCTTTTCAGCATTTCACAAGTAGAAGATCTCAGATTACATAAATCCGCGTGGAACCCACTTAAGTTTGCTCAGTTTCGCCTGTGTCCAAGCCTTCTGATGATTTTGCTAAGATTCTATCAGAGTCGTCCTTCGAACAGCTTGACATAACTTGCCAAAAGCCTTATAAAATTTCACTGGCATACTCTATGCGAATACTTAGGAGATTCTTTGGCGGATCTATATTCATCATTCAGAAAATCATGTGATCAGATGCTTCGACCTATAACATGAAAAGCATCCTCAAAGATTCATACTGAATCCTCAAGGTTTCTCAAAAACATATGGATTAGGTTTGATATTTGCTGTTCAACGACTCGATATTCTTCTCACAAGATGCAGATAGAATCTTCTCTGATGTTCATATAAATGATCATTCTGCAAAAAAAAATTCTGAATTCTCGCAATTTCGAATAAAATCCTCAGATCCCTATGTTTTTCTATAGAAAGCTTCCATCGAATTAGCATTGCTCTTTCTTCAAGGATCTTCTTACAGTAATCTCCAGGTGTAGTTTTTTATGTCAAAAAAGTCTTGATAAAAACTAAAAGTGACATAGATATAAGAATCGTTACGAAATTCTTTTTTTTCATAGGAAACTAGGGAAAGACGTCTGAATTTTTATCTGAGAAAAGAACATTCTCAAAGATGAATGCCACATTTGTAGCGCTTACTCCCACGAGAGACGAGCTCCCTTCGACAACGACGATTTCTTTTCTTATTCGTTCATTGTAGTAATTTCCAATATTCCAGTTGATGCTCGATGGACGCAGAATGGGGTAACCGTTGCTGGAGGCCATGGACGAGGCAGTGTTACCAATCAACTCTCGGGCCCTTATGGTCTCTTCGTTGATGATGATCAAACGATGGTCATCGCTGACTACAACAATCGTCGTATCATCCAATGGAAGATGGGTGATACGAATGGACAAGTAGTAGCTGGTGGCAATGGCCAAGGAAATCGATTAGACCAATTGACTAGTCCGACCGATGTGTTGATCGACAAAGAGACGGAGAGTCTCATTATTTGTGGTCTAGGGAATCGACGAGTCGTACGATGGTCTCGTCGTAGTGGTACAACTCTAGGAGAAATCCTCTTCGAAAACATCAAGTGTTGGGGATTGGCCATGGATGATCAGAGATATCTCTATATCTCAGACATCGAAAAACATGAAGTAAGACGATATCAAATAGGAGATAAGAATGGAACTATTGTGGCTGGTGGCAAAGGCAAAGGTGCTGGTCTCAATCAATTCAACTGGCCGACCTACATCTTTGTCGATCAACAACAGACTGTCTACGTGTCAGACAACTGGAATCATCGTGTAATGAAATGGAATAAAGATGCAAAAGAAGGAATTGTCGTCGCTGGAGGTCAAGGCCAAGGGAATGCTCTGACACAATTGTCGTACCCTAATGGACTGTTCGTCGATACATTGGGTACCATCTATGTGGTAGACTCGGAGAATCTTCGAGTGATGCGTTGGCCTAAAGGAGCGAAACAGGGCACTGTCATTGTGGGTGGAAATGGTCAAGGAGAAGGAGCAAATCAGTTCCAAAGCCTTAAGGGTTTGTTCTTCGATCGACATGGCAATCTCTATGTCGTCGATGAGTTGAATAATCGTGTTCAACGTTTTTTAATCGAATAGATTCAAAACGATGGATTGTTTTTTTTTGGTTTCCTTTCCTTTCAAATAAATCACGTTGAATTGATGAAATGAATGTTTATTCTATTCGCGCGCGACCAAGAACCATCCTGGTGAAGCCGGAGCGAGCGTAACGTTCATGCACGCACGGGACAGACTCAAATCATTCATATCCCTCCCACTCGAGAAATATGTCAATGAGTCGCTGAAAGGAAAAGAAAAAAAATTACTTAATGTTATGTAATGAAAACGAACGAGATGACTTACTCCACGCGTTACCTTTTTCTTCACTGTTGAATGCCTAAAATAAAAAAAACAATACATAAAAAAGATTATAGGAGAACTTATCACCCTCCATATGATCGTAAAGAAAGAAAAAAAACTGATATCTACAGTTTTTTTTATAGTGTGAGATTAATTTTCATTTCTCGCCGATTTTTTGTTCGTTCATTAAAATAGCCCATTTTTTGATCATCACAATCGAGTAAAAATTCGATTTCAGATGTCGTTTCACTTTCCATATCATATTTATTTTTATTCGATGGCAATTCAACATCGCCACAAGTATCACCATCGCTATACCAACTGTAACTTGATTTTGATAATTCAAATTCATGCTGTTGTATGAGAGTATATTTTTAAATAATGTTAAACGATGACAAATGTACATTCTCTTTCTAGACCAAGACGGTGAGCTAGATGATTATTCTCTGTAATGCAAACATTACCAATAGGATTTTCAAGTCGTTCATCTATTTCTAAATATTATGATACATTTGAAGAAATAAATATTTTAGCTACCAGTACTTTTGTAGGATCTTCACTAACAGTCATCGAAGATAAAACTTTATAAGCATCATGTTTCGGTTTTTCTAATATGTCCGTCCATATACAAAGATCAGTTTCAATAAAATCATCATCTTCTCGAGCTTTTCGTAATTGTTTAGCGAGATCATGTAATTCTTTTGATATGTTTTCTAAAAATAAAATTAATATCTAAGAGAAAAAATCTCTTTAAATCGACTATACTTACCTCTTTGTGAACCAATTAATGTTTCTATCTCTTGTCATACTTTATTTGCCATTTATTGAACTTTTATTATAGAATCTTGTTCTCGTTTATCAATTTGTTTGAGAAGAGAATGATAATTATTTTCTTTGTTTTCCTGCTCCACAACTATTTTGTTGCAAAGTATGATGTTCGATAACATGTGTTCGACAGAATGTTTGTGAACAACCTTCACATTTTAAAATCCCCACATTTTTACAATCATTTGAAGTGCAAGGTGTTTTTGATGATGATAAAGACATTATAATATGGTGGAAAAAGGCAGAAAGAAACAGTGACGAAGCAAAAAAAGGTAGAAAAGAGAAAAAAGAAGAAAAGAAAAATATGAAAAGAATGCAAAAATCATGGCCAGTCATTCAGCAATTTACTGAATAGAAAAATACGAGAATAGAGTCATTCATCATGTAATTGAAATGATAAATAAATTAACGAAATAGTCGAGCTATTAATGAAAGTGATGTCATGTTTTTCTTTTCCATGGAATATTTTCACGACTATATATGACAATTTCTTTAAGAAGCCGACTACAGTAATATTATTATTTTGAAAAAGATCACATAACGTATTTATAAGTTGTTATATTTCATTCTTTTTTGTAGTCGTCTTTGATCTAGCTTCAAGATCATATAACATTTTCTCTTTGCACACATACATGGATAAAAACGAGCATATATCTATATCTTAGATGTTTTCTATAAGAGCTCAATGTCTATTCTATCAATTTCGAAATCTAAACCTTGTTTTGTTTTGTTTTGTTTTCGTTGATTATATCCTAATTTATTTCTGATTGATAACATGTTGTGTTCATTTTTATAACCCATGTCGCTCATTTTTTATGAATCTCGCCGGGATCCCGCGGGATTAACTTTTCTATGCGGGAAGCCGTGGGATCCCGCCTATCCCGCAAAAAGTGACGGGATCCTGCGAGTTCCCGGTAAAAAAAAACGGGATCCTGGCAAAATTATTTTATCCCAAATGATTTCTTGTTCATTTAGTGAAGCGCATTCTACGATTGAATGTTCAAAACAGATTCGAATTAGAATGTTTGTAGTTAAACAAATAATTGTAATCAATTCGATATAGCATATTTTATATCAAACGAAAAAGATTATTGTCATTGCCTCATCCGTCAGTGATTGCTCATCTCATTCAGATCGACTTGATCGTCATCATTGTTCTTTTTTCTGATTCAACGTCTGTTTACACAATAGTCGGCCGCTGTGACAATCATTCTTCTACTCTTGCGACATAAAATCGATCTATTTATTGATTTTTCATTGAGTATGTACAATAATTTAGATACGTTAGACGATACTAATATTTATAAAAAAATCTTACAAAACTTATAGCATAACCAATACCGAACTAAAATATAAACTTGTAATATTTCCAAGTGACAATACATTTTCTATTGTTAATAATAAACAGTGTTCAAATTCAGAACATGATGGATTAATTACTATACAAAGTGGCAGTAAAAAATGTCTGGCAATGGTTTTCAAAAAAGGTATCAGATGAACGTGAAGTTTTTTTTTTAAATGTAAAAAGTTATCTTTTGTCTATTTCTCTTTCTACTATAGGTACAATGGCTGAATTACATGAAGCACAAAAATTATTAGGAAAAGCTATGAATACAGATATTGAATCTGATTATGATCCAGAACAAGAAAATAAAATGAAAACAAAAACCACAACAATTGTTAAAATACAATCAAGTAGGGATATTGATTTCATTCTTCACAGAAGCGTAACATCTGCGATATTTTTCTTCTATCTTTACTTTTACAAGAACCAACAATTACAAGTTTATCAAATATTCCGTTTGGAGGTTTGGGTAAGTAAATTCTTATTCTACTATGTGAACTTTTCGTTTACGATTCCAATTTTTTTCCAGGAAAAGCATGTAAAAATGTAACTATTAATTCGCAATCAAAAAATGCACATAGTACATTAGGTATGAACAAAAAAGGTTTTGGTTTTTTTTATAGCTTGACTCTTTTATTTTACTTTTACAAGTCTGTCTCTGGCGCAATGTGCTTTCTATTAAGGGTTTGACTTTGAAATTTGGATTTGACCTTGAGAATGGGCTTTGGGGGTCAAAAGTGTGCTTTTTCGAGATCTTGTCTGCTGTTCCCTTTGAGGACGCATTTTGGGGCAAAAACATGGATGTAAAATTTGTTTATTATGATTTTCTCTATGGGATAATACTTTG